TCTTATTGAAGGTGGTCGACATTAAATCTGGTGACTGTTATCTCATTGGCAATCATGCCACATCTCCTTCTATTTTCAGATAGTGTAAAAAAAAATGTCTTAATCCATTTCATTGAAAGAATCTAGGTTCCAATATTTCACTTTCATATATAACATGACTATTTTATATTTGTCCGTTCGGCCCTTTAATAACTGACTATGTGGTTTGGGTTTTGCGCATTGTTGAAGGCCGTACGATGACCTATAGTTGTTAACCTCTATGTGTCATTTAGTCTCTGGTGGAGAGTTGTCTCATTGGCAGTTATACCGCATCTTCCTATTTTTACATTGTCACTGGCAATTAATTAGTTTCATACGTTTAGAATATGTTCAGATTTAACAACCCAGTACGTGTACAGTTCATGTGACAGATATATTTCAATTACAACAAACTTAGAATAGTTAGTGCTTTTATGGGTGTATAGAAGTGTTAATCACTTTCTTTTTGTTTTTGAAACGAAAATTTACGGATAAACTGTAAAATTCGTACCACTGCATGTGAAAGATGTCAAGACAGTACGTTTCAAAGTTGATACGAAAAACATGAACCTGAAATCCTGAACATTAGCAGAATTAACGTTTTGAAGTACCGGCTGCATGAACTATCTAAATAAGTTCATTAATAAAGATAATTAAGGAACACATGAAGGTCAATACATAAATTGAAATTCAGGTTTTTTATATGGCAGTTTGTTCGTTTGAGAATCATCAAATGTGTTGATATAATACGAAGTTTTATCGTGTGATGACTTTTTATATTGCTAATACTTATAAACTCGTACCATTACCTGTGTATTAGAAGAGGTCATCCAAATACCTATTCACAATTGTCGGTTTGGGGAATTGATGCGGTTTAATCTTATCTGTTGCGCGTTGACATGAGATGTCTTGATGAATAAATTAAAACGATATGATTTGGCTTTACTGTTTTAGATATCAATGCGAAATAATTAGTTTATATTTGGTAACATGAACATGATGAATACTAGTATTTAAGCTCTACAGATTTTTTTTATAAATTAAAAAAAAATTCTTAAATCAAAACGCCTGTTTTGACAAGAAATTTTAAAAGTTCGAAACTAATGATTTTTTAAACTAGTTCATTGCAATAACATGGGAGATCCTGTTTTGGTAAAGCGCGTCCTTTGAATTTATCGATGTTAGTGTAACGTCCAGTGGCAATTATCAAGCAAATTCAGATCGCTTGAAAATCAAGTCAAATATTTGATTCATTAGTCACGTTAAGGAAGGTTGATGGTTCCACCGAAATGAAAGGTTAAACATTAAACTGACACGTACACGTACTCGTTTGGAAAATACGGAAAATATTCAATTATAAGTTACTTACTCATGTTGTTAATTATATACGTATACTGCATGTGGACAAATCTAAATTATATTTTTTAGATATTTAATTTTATTCAACGAATATTCTTCTTTGCAGCATTTAGAAGTCTTGCATCAACACTATGATTTACTTCATGTATTGATATGTTTTTTTCATTAATTCATTTTAATAGGGATATTTGATGGAGATATATTATCTAACGAAAATCAATAACGTTTTGAATGGACAGACGATAGATATATCTATCGGGGTTTCTTTTCTGCTTGAGTGATTTACCTTACAAGGAGGCGGACACTTCAAAGTTTAAAAGAAACATCAGTTTGAATTAGTTTAACGAGGCGTGGCTTATTAGTTAAACGGAGGTTAACCATGTCTTAAAATAACTTGAATGATCGCAAGGGAATCTATTTGACTGGTATCGAAATAGTTTAAAATAGACTGAATAAGATAGGAACCCGTTTTTAATTTTTGTTAATCTAATTCAATATTCCAGTAATCTCTTTTAAAGATGGTTAATACCTATTTGGGCGATCAAGCTAAATGTTGGTTACTACTCTTATAGTGATATATTATATAAAATTCCTCACAGGAAAATGAATTTCCTCAGAGGAAAAATTTTTGCAGCAAATTTCCTAAGGGAAATCTTTTTTCTATGAGGAAAAAACAATTTCCCTTGCGGAAAACAACTTTTCCTCTGATGAAATTTGTAAAAAAGGGGCATATTTTTTTCGACAGTGGTGCTTGAGCCAAAAAGTTTTAGGACAAATATCAGGGAACCAATACCAACCAAGTTATCAACTTTATTTTGACCTACCTCCAAAAATTAAGGTGACAACTTTTGCACTCAGCGGAATTGCAAACTTGTCCCGGAGACTGTTTATATATATATATATATATTAACATTCATCATTTTTATTTAGGAGCATGCTGAGGACCACCTCCGGGTGCGGGATTTTCTCGCTGCGTTGAAGACCCATTATAGGCCTTCGGCTATTGTCTGCTTTTTGGTCGGATGGTTGTCTCTTTGACATATTCCCCATTTCCATTCTCAATGTCAGTAGTTTATTAATGTTCTTAACATTATAATTTCAAGAAATTCGTTTCATATGACTTTAACATATGAAAGTTATCATTTCCAATATGCATAGTTATATAATAATAAACGCGTTAATCGCCTATTTACTAAGATGTCAGCTTGTAAATTTCCGTTGCAAGTGACGTCTACTAAGAATAAAGAAAAATGTGTCAATTACAAAGTAGAAAAAATGTTATTCAATTTCTAAGTTCTGTATGCCAATATTAATAAAATGTGTGTAACTCTCATCGTAAAACACGTAACTTTATAAAACAGACTATAGAAAACAACAAAACTAATGAAAGCATATCCTGTGAATCAACAAGAAAAACAAATACGAACGCTTAGTGTATCTTTTCCACGATTTTTTGCTTAAAACTGCTTCACGAAATAGAAACTTATCATTGACTTTCGATGTGTTAGGTTACCACGTCACGTTTGTGCATTATGTATGTTGTACATGTTTAGCTGACTTGATTTCGAACTTCGGTAATGTAAAGCAACATTGGTTTAATTTATCCTTAATTGACAAAAATAGACGAAATAAATAAGTCTATTATAATTTATAAGCTGAAAAATATAATATATTGTATAGTAAAAAAAAAAAAAAAACCCAAATCAAAAATACGCTGAAAAACTCGACTGAGTATTAAAAACAAAATCGCAAACAAAACAACAAGAACCCCACTAAGAACCGATGGTGATCTCAGTTTCCAAACTTCCAATGGCGCTACTGACGTTTTCGAAGTATAGACTCCAATTTTATTTACATGGTTATTATGTTAAGAACAGTAAGATCGTACATAAATATTTCCAATAAGAAGTAATATACTCCATATACAGGCGCTGCAGAATGTGATTCACTTTCACATTTGCAAAGTTCACATCCTCTATGTTTAGTAAAGTTTTGATCTTCACTGTCCGATCATTTTCTATGTAAGTCTTGATATGAAGCAGACTATATACACCAGTGTCACAAAATAGACTAATCAATCTATTCCTTTAAGTTTAAATCCCGCGATAATAAACGATACAATTCAAGAAAGGGGACTAACCGATTGACCATAATAATTAAAAACACAATTGTCAATCAACCGATTATACACATTGCTATACCTTTCGATAATTTTACCTAAAAAAAATCTTCGCCGAGCGGAACAAGGCGAAAATGTTAGTTTGCGCCCCCTGACATTAAATCCTGAATCCGCTCCTGATACATTGTGTAACAGATTAAAATTTTCTAAATTTTATTAAGAGAAAGTATTTAAAAAAAATTGATTTAAAATCAGCAAATGTGGTATGACTTCCAACGATACAACTTGTCATCAGAGACCAAGTAACGTAGATGTAGGCAACCATATTACGGTATTTTTGATATTTTACTTTTTCTAGTATCAAGTGATTTGTAACAATATTATGAATTGAACAAATTGACTGCTTGATTGATTGGTGTTTTAATGCCACTTTTAAGCGCCTATTTTGGGCTATTTCGTGGCAGCCAGTTTTTATATGTGGAAAAAGCCAGAGTGCCCGGAGAAAATCACCGACCTTCGATAGGAAAACATACCATCCTAGTCAATTGAGATTGGAGTTGAGTGCACTCGCACGAGCGGGGTTCGAACTCATAACCTTAGTGTTGACTGGCTAGTGATTACAGTAGTATAACTACTTAGACCACTTGGTGAATTCAACATAAGTTTGATTTCTTAATGTTCTATGCTAGGCTCATGATCAAATTTGTATGAACATTTTTTAAGTACCAGCGGAAAGAATACTTACCTAAAAACAAAGTACAATGCATTTTCAACTTTTGCAAATTATATAAAATGCATACCATTAAAGCATATGTAAAAACAGTTTTTTTTTCTAAAAAAATATATATGCAAATTATAATATATACATTTATTTAGGAACAGCTCATTATATAAAATGAGTCATATACATAGTATTGGCAATGATATTTCGTGACATGACATGAATCGAGAATTAGCAAGGCTTCTATCACATACATGTACTTCTTTGCCGACAGTAACAGCTTATGAATTTCTAGTATTTGTTTTTTATTTATATCCGAATGAAACCATGCTGTTATCATATAAATCATCATACATTTCGAAATTCCTTTTCGATGAAATACCTTATTTTATCCAGTAACTTCTTTATCATCCCAAGGCACAAGCCACAGGTTCATATTGGTCGGAGGATGATAAGGTGAAGAACATGGGAAGGAATGTGTGAAAATATAATTATCACAAGCAATGCATTCAGAAATGTCTCATAATCCTATGTTGTCATTATGCTTATCGTATTCGAAACGAGCAGCTTATTCTTACACCATTTGTATAAGGAATGATGGTGAGTGGCATAATTGAAAACAAATCATAAAAAAACAAATGTGCAGAGATCAAAACTATGAATAGGGAATTATCCATTTTTAACATAAATTGTTTGTGCAATATGCGAAACTTTAAGTTTTGGTATAACATGTATAAACTGTTGAAACAGCTGGAAAAAAATTCTTGTCAGTAAATGTTGTACTTACATTAATTCCGTACTGAATTCCCAAGGCTCTACTAAATGGTTCGATACGTGTAAGGTTTTATGTTCTAAGCATTGGTAATGAAAACTAATTAAATCATTTAAATTCTGTCGCTTAGTTTTAAAGTCACCATCTTTACACTTGAACGTTTTAATAAATTTTATTTTTAGTTTGTAGCGATGACGTAGTCTATACACGAATTCAACTAAGTCTGTTCGTAATTTTCCATATGTTTGACAAGAATTTCGTGAGTTCCATACCTGAAGAGCTATGACATTCGGTCCTTCACAAACCACTAATTTTTCCCAACCGGACAAATCTAAATCAAAGACACCTATCTGGCGATATAAAGCTTTCATTTCGTTACGAGTTCCCTTTTCTAGAAACATACTCACAGAGTACTGCTTAATATACCACGCAAGAATGTGATTGAAAAAATCTGGAGGAAGAAACTGAAACTGTAAGCAAAACCAACTTGTCTTATAAAAGGATTGTCTGCTGTCAAAAAATTGTTTTCGAAATTCTTCAAAAGGGCAGGATTTCATCATACATGGCATGTACAATGCAGTTGAATTTTTCAAATTCACAATGATATCGAATCGCTTCATAACTTCCAGTAAATGTGTTTTGTTCTCTAAAAGTTTTAATTTCGGTTCTTTCGTGAACAGATCATAGATAAGTGATTCCGTCAATTCTCCAGTTTCGGTCAGGGTTCGGACGTGATCTGAAACGTTGGATAAATTTTCAGTTTTATCAAACATCGGACATCTGAATGCATCAGCCAACCATTTAGGGTCTAAAATAACAACATCTTTCAAATTTTCCTCTTCAAAATATATAACTATTCCATTTTCATGACAGTGTTGTAGGCATAATTTGAATTCTTCATCATTGGTTATTCCAATATCTTCATGCTTTGCAATTTGGAACAATTGGGTGGTTGTAGAAATTGGCACACCGCTCTCCATCAGTCTCCCTAAGACTTTTTGAAATAAAAACCAGTTTAATGGACATACTCTCCCCAAAGCTTTCATATTAATAATTTGACGTGATAAATCGTTTCTTATTTTTTCAAAAACATCATCTAAATCCTCAGTATTTGAAACACAATAAACTCTTCTCAAGTGTTTTTCCTGGAACCGATCTTCCAGAACATTTTCCAAATATTCTTGAAGTTTGAATTCTCGTTTTTGTCGTTCTAAAGGTTCCTGCAACATATCTGATTATTATACTAATATTAAAAAATATTAAAAAAAACTTGCTTATAGGCTTGCAACCACGTAATGCTGTAATTGTAGCGGTTTTTTTTTAATATTGCCATATAAGCGGGATGTTTGACTAGCCACAAAAGCAGGTTCAACCCACCATTTTTTTCTTTAAACATGTTGTACCTTGTCAGGAATTTGACGATTGTTATCAAATAGTCCGTTTCTATGTATGTTGGTGTTTGTTTTTGTTGCAGTTCAGTGTTTCTGTTGATCCGTTGTTTTTCTCTTATAGTTGATGTGTTCTCTTGGTTTTGGTTTGTGACCCGGATTTGTTTTTGCTGAATCGATTTATGACTATTGAACAGCGGTATACTACTTTTGCCTTTATTTGCAAAGCATTCTACCATTACCATAAAGATGGAAAGTCATCAATCTGGGTACATTATGAAATTTATGTTTTGTCTAAAGGAAGTTTTTCTATGTCCCTTGTTACCAATAATAAGTATAAATTTCTTTTTATCTGCCTACATTCTTCTCATAATGTTCACAATTATTTACTTAAGACATAAAACATGGCCTATGTCTCATGTTAATTTACGTATTTTTGTTCGATAATGAATACGTGTCGGTTAGTGTATGGAAAGGTATATACTATGAAATTTAGAGCGAGGGGCTTGCCCCGAGCTCTTAATTTCATAGTATATACCTTTCCATACACTATCCAATTTAGCACATATTTACAACTTGGGTAATCCTGTAATTAGTCTATTGGTATGTTTTGGCTGACTAAGTGTAGCTCATTTACGTAGTTTTGTAAATCTACTCACTAGTATCATTGTAAAATATTGAATCCAGAATGAAAAGATGGTAGCTGCTGGTGTAAGTATGTTTATTGACATAAAGCGGTGTTTTTTTATAGATGTACTTCTTCACATGGTAAGATGACAAAATAAATTGACTAATAGCAGGCAATAATTAAATTGCAGTGGAAGCTTTACATTCTTGAAAACATTTTTTTCAATTTTACATAAAAACTAAAACTATAATAAATTTTACACATATAGTTTGCAGTGGCAGATCCAAAAAGGGGGAGGGAGAGTTCAGGAGGGGGATGGAAAATGCCCTTTTTGTGATGATCAATGCTTTTGAATGAGGACATACAGTTGGACCCCCCCCCCCCCCTTTATTTCGGGTTGGAACCCCTTTTAAAAATGACTGGATCTGCCCTGGTATGTACCCATAGGTAGTCTAGTGGATAGTTTTCATGCATGAAATATTTGTCACTGGACATTAAGCAACCAATAATCAATCAATTCATGACGAAATAGATCAAATTGCTTTAATCTCCCTTCACAAGGTTTCATGGTTCACTCTTTTTTGTGTACAAAGTAATTGCATGGAAGATAAATGATTACAATTTTCAGATGGCATTGTAATCTAATCAAGGTATAAAAAATCATATTTGTTACTCTTTATTTAAACGAAAGAAACTTTTAATCACCAAAAACATTTTTAGATCCTAAGATTAAATAGTAGGATGTTAAAAAATCAATTTGAAAACTAGTTACAAACTATTTAGTTTAATTTGGAACACAGCATTTATTTCAAAATAGCCAGTAGCAATTTTTTTTTTAATATCTTGATTACGATACAATGAAATCTTACCCTTGTGGTCATTCATGCGTAGTTACTTAGTACATGGAAAAAGTATGTACTATGAAAATTAGAAGGCAAATATAAGCAATTTGATTGGACGAGAAGTTGTAAGTATGTGCTAAATTATTATACGATTCAACATCGTACCTGAATGATGGTTGATTTAATTTCTTTGTAATTTTTAAATCATTTTATATCAGAGGGTGCAGTGAACTGAAGAAAATATCTTTTGGATAGATCAAAGGTTGCACCTTGTTGTTGTAATGTTTAGTTGTGTGTTTGTACAAGTTTTTCTATTGAAAGCAATCGTTTTTAAACAATAAAATAGAAACAATGTATTCCGCGATGCACGGACGAGATCCAGCAAAACAACACTATCATAACTCAAAAAATTGCATTGTTTCATAGAAGTAATCAATTAAGTTTTTCCACATTTCTTACTATTTTGTTGCTCGACTAAAAGGAATATCTACAAAGTGATTAAAATAGATGAATAAAAAAAACACTGCAATCAAATCACATCCGAATCCGAATTTTCAATCTATATCAATCTTTGTTCAAAACATTCGTTTATTTGCATTCATTTAAAATATACTTTTCATGTCGGGGCCTATCTTTGCTTTAGTCGTGATGGGCTTTTATGGAAGGCCAAAAACTGTGTTTTGATATGCCCATTTTCATTATATGATTTGCATTTACCTTTATATGATGTGCACCTGTCATTATATGATGTGCAAACACCTTTATATGATGTTCAAATATCCTTATATGATGTGCAAATATCCTTATATGATGTGCAATTGTCATTATATGATGTGCATTTACCTTTATATAATGTGCAATTGTCATTATATGATGTGCAAATATACCTATATGATGTGCAAATGTATTTATATGATGTGCAAATGTACCTATATGATGTGCAAAAATTCTTATATGATGTGCAAATATATTTATATGATGTGCAAATGTACTTATATGATGTGCAAAGATCCTTATATGATGTGCAAATAGACTTATATGATGTGCAAATATACTTATATGATGTGCAATTATCCTTATATGATGTGCATTTTTCCTTATATTATGTGCAACCATCTTTATAAGATGTGGTTGTGTCATTATATTATGTGCTTGTTATCTTATATTATGTGGTTCGGTTTACTTCATTATATGTTGTCGAAACGTCATTATATGATGTGATTTCATCGTCGTTATTGTCAATGAACATGATTACGATTAGAATGATTACTGTCTACGTTATAACTGATTCCGATCTGCTTCTGCGGAGTAACTATACACCCGGCTCAACTCTGTAGTTTCGCTAGCGAAAGTGCAATTTATAGGAAAAATTAGACAATATAATTTAACAAAAATCAACGTTTAAAACATTTAGGAGGAAGATTAAGATTAATTAATACAGGAGCTAGTTGAAGAAATTCCCCGCTGCGGTGAAAGTATGATAAAACAAATTTTGGGGCTCTTTATAGCTTGCTATTCGGTTTTGGCAAAGACTCCGTGTTAAAGGGCGTACTTTGACCTATGATTGTTTACTTTTTACAAATTGTGACTTGGATGGAGAGTTTTCTCATTGGCACTCATACCACAGTGACATTTTCTTATTTCTGTTCAATGCAAAAGACAATAATGAACTCACAGTCAGTTTTAAAAATATTTCGTAACAATAGCTATAAAATTATCTACTCATGCAATGGTAAGATGTATAATGTAATATTGAATATGTACAGTGATATTAAATCTAGTATATCATATGATAATTGTATTTCGGAATACTTTGCTTGCTTGCGACAATGGTGTACGACAAGGAGAAAACTTATCACCTTTCCTGTTTTCTTTACTTTTGAATGACTAAGAAAATTTCTTAGTCAGTAAAAATAGTAAAGGACTTAAAACTATAACAACAGATCTGGAAATAGAATTAGAAATATATCTTAAGAATTTTTACATCGGATGACCGTGAGGGCATTCCGGTGTATTGCTGTCGCCTAGATTTCCATTACGTAACTTTCGTGTCGGGATTGTAACCGATCTATAAACATGATAAATACGCTGGCATTATCGAGTGCAAAATAACGTTCCTTATCGCTTGTTATAAATTCATTTTATCAATGGATACTCATAAAAAACATTTTTAGAACATAAATTAATAATATGAAAATGTTTTGTTGTTAGAAATATCTATATAAGTAAAATAAATCTTTAATATCTATGCACACGTACAGAAAAAGTGTGTTAACGCATGCGAAATAATATCTTAAGAACGTTTGCAATCTCCCATGCAGAGTTATCGATCCTTGCTCTCTCTCAAGGATCGATAACTGTGCATTGGAGATAGAACGATTTGCGGGAAAATATCAATGCCTTCTCATCCAATCTATTAGAAAAATCGAATTATTACAGAAGAGTGCCCACCATGCACTTACACTGCACTATTATTAATATAGTAGAATAGAATGATATATAAAAGGATGAAAATTATATATACATGTAACTGTAATATACAAATATTAATATAATATATAACAACAAACCAGAGTATACTGATTTGTATCACTACAATATAATAGTTATTACGATGAGGTTAAACTCCCTGTCATTTATTTAACATCCACGCACGAACTTGTCTCAGAAAAAAAAATATATTTGTACATTAACCTCACTATCAGGTATAGAGATGTAATTCTTTTTCTGCGACAAGTGCTTGTGACCATCCACAAGAACTTGCGGTCATCCTATGTCCAGCACTTCAGTTCTTTGATTTTTATTAAATTGTACGCAGATGACACGGTATTGTCGGCCGAAAGAGCACAGGACCTGCATACTCAACACAATGCCTTCCATGATTATTGTAAGGCTTGGAAATTGAAAGTAAACGTTAAAAAAGCCAAAGCCTTAGTGTTTGATTTTGGACGTATGCCAAAAAAATCTCCGATTATCTTGAAATGAATCTAACATTGAGATAGTAAAGCAGTATAACTATTTGGGAAATGTTTTTACTAAAGAAGGGAATTTTAATATGACAAAAAAACATTTATCCGATAAGGCCTTAAAAGCCATGTACGAAGTCCTGAGAATAGGAAGGATGTATCAGCTTTCTGTAAAATGTCAGCTTGATCTTTTTGACAAAATGATCAAGCCCATTCTGTTGTATGGGTGCTAAGAATGGGGTTTTAGTAATAATGATATATTAGAAAAGATACATTTAAAATTCTGTAAATTACTTTTAAATCTGAAATCTTCAACACCAAATTATATGGTTTACGGGGTACTAGATCGCCATCCGGTCGACATAGATATAAAACTTCAAGCAGTATTATTTCGAG